GTCCATACCTGGCTCAAGAGGTTGTTGATCAACACCTCGCAATTGTAACTCAAACCGCTCGGCCTGCACAACATTGTTAAGATGACGGAGTTGTTTTTTGCGCCACCTTCCTGCAGAATACAAGTTAGTATTCCACTCCAAGTGTGCACGCCAATCTACACGATGAGAWACAGATGCCYGRCGGTTCGACATGTGAGCATAAGCAAATRGGACAGCGYGACCTAGAGGAAAGCTTGGTATAGCACCTGCCATGCCAACGGCAGGAAATCTCCCGAAAGGGGTGGGAAGTATCGGAACAGCCCCTTGATTATTTCTCAATTGCAAATTCATTGATTATGAAACGATTGTTTTTTTTGTTTTTTTTCTTGTTTGTTTTTTTTCATTTTTTTATTTTTTTGTCAACTTTTCAATCCAAAGAAAGGAGGTGGGTGCATGAGGTGACAGTACTTTAGGCCCAACGGCTCAGGTCGGGATTCCTGCCATCGTCCTTTTTGTTTGCTGTTCACAGTCAGCAGCATTGTCAAAGAGGGAGCTTGGTGTAAATGTGAAACTGCGTCTCCCGATGAGTGTGCAATCAGCATAAGTGTGCAACCAGCAGCAATGCCAAGACCCTTACACTGATAGACCAACAGTGTCTACATAAAAAGATGTCACCAAGCAACTGACACATGCATGAGCCAGCGTAGAAGGATTATCCCAAAGAACARGGAACAAGAGGTGAGTGGGCATGGAGGCAGCCRCCCGGGTCTGGCCAACCTTAGGCGGGCCGTAACTATWCCCACTGCACGRGAAAGGGGTGCAACCCGTGCCCTTGCGGTGACCGCCATCACAATCACATCATGCACTGAAGGAAAAAGTGTACATAACAGCTGTACACAACACATGGTCACAATACCAAGCTTACCAAAAAAGGACAAATTGTCACATATAATATATATATTATTGTCAAACAGAGCTTCCTACGGTAAACCGTAGGCAGAGAGGGAGAAGAGGACAACAAACGAGAGGCTGTGACAAACTGTTTCGTTGGAGTTTCACCGGCTCATCAAGAGGCTGAACCTATATAAAATTATTATAAATATTATATTTACATGCACGGTTAGCAAACATTTGTAGCAGGAACTTACTACCATTGTCACCCGTATAGCTGTATTTGGGGCAGCTTTCAATCCAGACTCCAGATGCACTGGGCATCCTATTCCGGTGCAGACGGTACACAAAGTAAATATAAGTCGACAACAACAATAGATGATCAGATCCGTCAGTAATGTAATCCAGGAAACGGACAAAGAGTTCGGTGCTCGTCAGCAAACCAAGGAGTAATTAGATGACCATCTTTTGTCCTGTTCGAATGTGTACAGGTTCTGATACGCATCATGCACTCCGCCATCTCCACGTCCAGGTACATTCTGACAGTGGCAATGTGGCCATTGATGTGTGTTCAAGGCCCGTTTTGCCCAAAAGAGGAAGATTTGCAACGTGCATCGCCACCACAAACCCGACCACCGTATTAACCAATTGAATCAATCCCGAAGTTGTTCAATGAACCTACCCCAAAGTTGTTCATCGCACTCCCAAAGAAGACAAGAGAGAGATTCCCTGAATGGACATCCTCGAGATTCAAAGGAGGCGCCAGCTCCTCCAGCAATTCAATATCATCCTGTGGTACAAATTCAAAAATTCAAAAGTCAAATCAAACTGACAAAGTCAAAACTTCAAAAGTCAATCGAAATGACAAAGTCGAAAATTCAGAAGTCAATCAAACTGACAAAGTCAATAGTCCAGGAAAACAAGCAGTGCAAACAACAACCACAACAACAACACCTCTTGGGAGAAGAAGAAGAAGAAGAAGAAGAAGAAGAAGAAGAAGAAGAAGAAGAAGAAGAAAGAAGAAGAAGAAGAAGAAGAAGAAGAAGAAAGAACAAAGAAGAAGAAGAAGAAGAAGAAGAAGAAGAAGAAGAAGAAGAAGAAGAAGAAGAAGAAACGGAGAAATGAAGAAGAAAACGAAGAAGAAGAAGAAGAAGAAGAAGAAGAAGAAGAAGAAGAAGAAGATTAGGAAAACGAAGTAGTAGTAGTAGTAGTCGTAGTAGTAGTAGTAGGAGGAGGAGGAGGAGGAACAGGAGGATGCCATCAGAGTGATTTCGGGAGGCCAACGCTTGGTATGCAAGGGGAAGGACCAACCAACCAGAGAAGTTTGAATGGGACAAAAAACTGTAGTCAGGAAACTTAGTAGTCAAAAGAAGCAGAGCAGAGATTGGAGCAATCAGGCGGCCCGCTAGGAGGGGGTGCTCATATCACCCCTCCTAGCGTGGCAGAGTGGTTTTCAAAAAAAAAAAAAAAAAAAAAAAAAAAAGATATAGATTTCTTTCCTGAACGGCATAGAGCATAAGCAGGCAACTTGGAACACTGCCCCTTAATTGGAAGGAGAGGTGCAGGAAAGAAAAATCAATTTAAAATTTAAAATTTAAAATTTAAATCATAAATGCTATATCTCCTTCCATCCAAGGAGCATAAGCAATAGATTATTGTTTCTTTCTATAGTCGTAACCTGTGTTTAAAAAGGGGCTAGCAATAAAAAAATGCTAAAGGAAAAAAGGACTATAGAAAGAAGAGACTACAGAAGAAAACTGTATAAAAAAAAACTACAGAAAAAGCCACAGGAAAAGCTACAGAAACAGCGGGCGGAAAAAAAAAAGCTATAGAAAATACGACAGAAACGAGAGGCGAGTAGAGGCTACAGGAATGGCACGCTACAGGAAGAGGCACAAGAGGGGGGGTGGGGAGAAGAGAAGGAGCAAAAAGAAGAAAGGAACTGAAAATACGAGAAGAAAAGGTCTAGCAAAAAAAAGGTATAGGGGGAACGTGCAGAAGAAAAATATAGGAGGAGGCAGGAAAAAGGTACAGGAGAAAAGTGCCGTAATGAACCCAATCAGATGACAAGCTCAAACATGTCGTGATGCAAGTCTGATACAGCGCAATACTGCTGTCTCCAACTATCGATTATAAGTCCCAAGGCAAAGTACATGAAATCTCTCTCATCATCCCGTAGCCCAGAGAAGAGAATGAGAGACTGGGGAGAATAGACAGATACGAGGAGAAGGAGGAGGAGAGTCCCACGTGAATCAATACTTCCCTCCTCCGGACATCTCCCACTATCGCCACCTCAGCAAATCAGCACTCCTTTCACGATCTCTGACATGCACTTGCGCAGGTCACATCAATTCGCCCATCCTCAGTCCACGTCAGCAACAGCTACCGAGGATGCCGCAGGCGCAGGTCCAAGCCGAGCAGCAGATCACCCGTCCACGTAACAGCTAAGTCCAGGTAAGCCTCTCCTCATCACACACCCCAACTCCACAGTCCAGATCCTCCTCCTCCCCCTCCTCCTCCTCCTCCTCCTCCTCTTATCAATGTCTACTCCACGCGGCTATGGCCGCATCAGCATATCCACCCTACTGGCTGGCGCCCAGACTCAGACACTGGCAGCACCATAATGTTCCCTCAGCCTTGTGTAGTCGAACCAGGACAGGATCAAGACAGTGCAAGGCCGAATGATCTCCAGAAGGGGCTGGGGGTCAAAGTCAACTTTATAATTTTGACTCGCGTTGACCAGCCTCTGGTCTCCTCTTGTCGACCGTCGAGATGAATCAGCAACTGATGGCCTGGATGCACCGCAGTCCCAATTCCCTTCGTGGCCCAGTCGGACTGGAATCTTCTGGATACCTGCCGACAAACCATTGATGTGTGTATCTGATCGATGGCCGTGGCTGACCAGCGGGTTGACTGACCTTTGACCGGGTTGACTTTGACCTTTGACCGGGTTGACTTTGACCTTTGACCCCTGGCCCTGGAATCCCGTAGTTGGGTTGACTGTTGACTTTTTCGGAAGTTTTCCCAAGGTCAACTGTGGCCCGTAGGGCCTCTGAAGAGTCTGAAGGCGGTTTTTGACTTGGCCTGGGGTACCCCATGGCCTTGGGCCTTTCCCTGACTCTTCGCAGACTTGGGGGGTGACGTTTGCCCCTTTATGCGGACCGTTGAGCACAAGGTTTGACCTCTGGCCCGCGTCCATGCAGATGCGGAACGTGGGTTATTGCAGTGCAGTGGAGAAAAAACTACGAAAAAAAAAAAACCAGCCTCACATGATGTGACCACAAGGTTTGACCTCTGGGCCGCAAGAGCAACGGAGATGACGATGACAGGCCACTTCGTGTACAAAGAAAATACAAGGTCATGTGACAGGCTACAGGTAAAAAAAAAAAGAAGAAGAAGAAAAAAAAAAGGGGAAAAATTGTTGAGAAAAAAAGATACCAGACCAAACAACTTCCGAAAGGGAAAAATGTTCAGAAAACTTTCAAAAAAAAGACGAAATTGGATGAGAGAGGCTGGACTGACCCGAAGACGTGCATACAGATCCGCATCCATTAGCGTGGGTAAGGAAGGGTCCTCCAATGGTAATATCTTCACAGTAGCCTCCTTGCTTCCATGCTTCCGGTCTCTCTCAAACAAATGCACTTTGCCGCTCAGACGGTCGTAAACACCCATGAACCTGTTATTTATCTCCCTCTCTCTCCCCAGCCCCACCGCCCCCACCGCCCCCCACCGCTCGTCCCCTTCGCCCCCCTCCCTCCCCCTCCCCCCAAACTCCCACATTGATTGCATGTTGCAATGGTATAACAAATTGTCAATTTATGGGAGATGTTTTTTTTTTTCTTTTTTTTCCCAAACACGGCCCCTTCTATTCTGGGTGGCATCAGTCCGAATGCTTACCGCCGGCAAGCATGTATCACAAAGAACAACAACAACAACAGCAAAAAAAAAAAAAAAAAAAAAAAACTATTTCTAACTTAGTAATTTACTAGGCTATTAGGCTATTACACAAACATACACAAGTCTGCACTGTAATAATCTTCTTCTTGAAAAAAATAATAATAATAATAATAATAAATAATAATAATAATAATAATAATAATAATATAATAATAATAATAATAATCTTCTTGAACTTCTTCTCTGCTGCTGAGGGCCTCTTTCGTATTCTCCAACAATCTTTAGTGCAGTCTCCATTAGAGTGGTTTGTAAATGGGCTTTACTCAAAAAAGAAAAGAAAAGAAAAAAAAAAGAGTGGTTCTGTGAGTTCTGTCAATCCACTCATCTTCTTCCTCCTCTTCGTAGTACTGAAATGTGACATTCTATTAAAAAAAAAAAAAAAAAAAAAAAAGGTTAAAAAACTTATTAAAAACTTTAAAAAGGACCATTTCTCGATTTATGTGTGTCACCCGTGCGCTGGGGGTCTGCTAATCTTCATTCTATGTATCGTTCCAATTTTAACGGATGTCCCGAAGGACTGAAATGTGATTTTCTAACTCTTCCCTAGTCTCAAAAAAAAAAAAAAAAAAAAAAAAACCCTTCCCTGGCCTTCCTTTTCTTCCTGGTGTCCATACAGATGGATGATCGTCAAATTCGTCAATCCTCTCTACATTGGCTCTTCCGTCCATGGCCGTAGGATGCATGCTTCTTCGACCTTCAAATCTTGATGGCATATACGGGCAAAATACCTTGGAAGCTTTTGGAACACAGGGTAAGTCCTCCGATGGGCCCAGTAAATCAGTAAATCAGTAAATCAGTAAATCAGTAAATCAGTAAATCAGTCAACAGGTGACAGCCCAGGCCATGTGGTTAATACCTTGGAAGCTTTTGGAACACAGGGTAAGTCCTCCAATGGGCCCAGTAAATCAGTAAATCAGTAAATCAGTAAATCAGTAAACCAGTAAATCAGTAAATCAGTAAATCAGTAAATCGGTCAACAGGTGACAGCCTAGTCCATGTGGTTAATACCTTGGAAGCTTTTGGAACACAGGGTAAGTCCTTCGATGGGCCCAGTAAATCAGTAAATCAGTAGATCAGTAAATCAGTCAACAGGTGACAGCCCAGCCCATGTGGTTCTTCTCCAATCATCGTGGAATCGACGTGGATCTCTGCCAAACGCCACACGGCTTCCGGCATTTATGGGATTAGCTTGGTAGTCTGGAACACAGAGTAAGTCCTCCGATGGCGCAGCACATCAGCCCTTGTGGTTGTCCTCTAATCGCCGCCAATTATCTCCCAACCCCCCACCCAGCCTCAGGCAGTTTCCTAGATACCCCTTCTTTTCCAGGGAGAATGCATCCATCCTCATTGCTGACCCAAACAAGTTCTTCCTCTCTCTCGGAACACTGTAGGTCTCCCTCCGTTGTCTATTTGTTTCTAGTACTTTCTAGTATCTACTGCCATAGACTCTCCTCTGCCTACTGCATCTTTCGATAGCTCCACCACAGCCCATGTGGTTCTTCTCTAATCATCGTCAATTATCTCCCAACCCCCACACAGCCTCAGGCAGTTTCCTAGATACCCCTTTTTTTCAGGGGAGAATGCATTCCATGCTCATTGCTGACCCATGCAAGTTCTCCCTCCCTCTTGGAACACTGAAGGTCTGCGGTTTCTATTTGTTTCCGCTGCTGCCATAGACTCCTGCGCCCTCTGCATTTTTTAAACCGCTTGCGCGCTCGTTTGTGCAAACTGCGGTGAGTAAACTCCATGCTCTTTCTCATAAAGTGCTAGAACTAAAGTACTATGATGAGGGGAAAGAGAAGAGGACAAGGAAGAGGAAGAAAAAGAAGAAAGGAAGGAGGAGGAGGAGGAGGAGGAAGAAGAAGAAGAAGAAGAAGAAGAAGAAGAAGAAGAAGAAGAAGAAGGAGGCAAGGAAGCAGCAGCAGTAGTAGTAGTAGTAGAAGAAGAAGAAGAAGAAGAAGAAGCAGCGCAAGCAGAAGCAGCAGCAGCAGCAGCAGCAGCAGCAGCAGCAGCAGAAGAAGAAGAAGAAGAAGAAGAAGAAGAAGAAGAAGAAGCGCAAGCAGCAGCAGCAGCAGCAGAAGAAGAAGAAGAAGAAGAAGAAGAAGAAGAAGAAGATCATACCCTGGTATTGCCTATGTCGTGCCTGCTTTCTCCCTGCTATGCTCATCCAGGTCCCGAATCTACTAGGCTCCCTGGGGTTGGGTGATCGAGTCTTCCCCCGGTGCCTACCACCTCCATTTCAATCCGTATTGGGGACTATCACTGGAGGAGGGAATAGGGGGCAGGCGACATGGGATCTGATAGCAGTGGGGGTTGTTCTCTAGGCGGACGGCAGGAAAGGGGAGCGCCTCGAGGTGGGTCACGAGACAGAGTACCCTGGCTAGGGGGTCTAGTAATTCAGACAGCTTGAGACTGAGAGGCCAGAGGGCAGGGTTTTCATTAAAGCGAAGCTGGGTAGAGCTCCCAGTACCTCTGATGTAACCTCAAATATAAGGCTCCGTTCCATTGGTGGGGAGCTAAACCCGTTTTCCAGCAGATGCTGCTCCCCACCAATGGAACGAAGCCATCTTCTAGAAGGCAAAAAAAAAAAAAAAAAAGAAGAAGAAGAAGAAGAAGAAGAAGAAGAAGAAGAAGAAGAGGAAGAAGATCATACCTTTCACAGCCCTCTGACTAAGATCCAGTGTAGTATCTGTTGTGATCAGACCACAATGATAGAGAGGAAGAAGAACAAGGACAAGAAGAAGCCGGTAGGAGGAAGACGGGTAGGGCATATACGAAACACGATAGAGGAGGTGGACTCCATATCGCGGCTCTCCAAACA